GATCCGGTTTTCCGCGCGCTTCATCCGCCCGCCGCGATCTCTGGAAGGTTAGTTAGTTTCTCGCAGCTCCGATTTTGGTGCTGCCAGCACGCGAGATTTTTCTTTTGCTGTGGGGGTTCTTCTTCCATGACTGTTCCAGGTGTTTAGTGCTCTTCATACCAGCTTAGTTCTTAGGGGGTGGGTTTTGATCGATTTCCTTCTCAAAAGGCAAGTCTTTTGGACGAGGATTCATCGTTCCTTCGCGATCTTGTTGTTGCTTGGCTGTCGTGAAAGTTTCCACCTTTGTGCTCCGGATTGGTTTTCCTTGGGGCAACCGCGTTTACACTCCTCGGTTTTCGATGCCATTGATGCGCAACTCCGTTCGAGGTTTGCGTTTCGTTCATGCTTTCGATCGGCGCAAGTATTATTTTTCCTCTTTTCGATGGATTTGATTGAAATATTTTCGATTTGCCTGTCGATTTTACATTGAAGGTGGCTTTTAGAGACTTTTTTTTCTTATGGAAAGAAATAAAAGTCTTGATCTCTGAATTGGATGGATAAGAAGATGTTTTTCGTTTGTGCATTAGTATTCTTCTCAAGCATTTACTGCTAAAATTGCTCACTGTTTGATATGGCGTCCCATGAAAAGTCACGGATAGACTTGACAACGATAGATCTATGTACGCAGTCTGGCGTAGTTCAACAGTGTTCTCAGACGTCGTCGTGCTTGGTCCGGTCATCCTCATACTGTTGCAGTTTCTCATGGTTCAACGCGTCTGCACCCCGTTTCACACCTGTTTTTCGGGACCCCCAATGACACGAGAAAGAGTCAAAAGCCCGTAATTTTGAATTATTGGTGTCTATTATTTGAATCTTGTATTGGATACTTGCTATGGTTGAACTAGCCTTTTTTCTAGTGCAATAATTGCCAATATAATAGTGGCCGTTGCTCAACCGGTTCAGTTTACAATTTTGCCTCCCTGTTGCTGTATTTTAGGATTATTGGGAAGCCTGTATGTGTGACTACTGGATCCTCCACCAAGCTCTTCAAGTTCCAGGATCCATTCCTCTGTATTGGGCAAGCTCTACACCTCTGTAGATTATCAGCCTGATTCACAACTTGCTGCAAGAATTCGACTGCAGATGGACCAAGGAAGCGTGGCTGATGCGATTCCTGGTTTGAGGGCTTCTGTTGGTGTTTCGAGCTAGCAGACTCCTTTTTTCCTCCTCAAAGTTCCAATTCAACATGTGGTTTCTATGGATCCAAACTTCCAAAGTTGGAATCTGATCACTCGAGTCAGTGCTTCTTAGCTTCCTTATTTGCCGTTATGGAGGAGCAGAACTCATGGCTTAGGACCAAGTTCTCCCATACTGTCTACACTAGAGTGGATCCTCGAAGAGTAGCTGTCGCTCCGGTCAGCAAAGATGTGGTGCTACCTTTTGCTCCGCTTAGCAAGGATGTTGAGCGGAAACTGCAGAAATTTATCAATATGAAGAAGTCTGTATCGATGCCCGTTGATCGGGATGATGAAGATACAGGAACTGCATTCAAGTACTGCGCTAGTTTGCCGCTAGTCCGATCCCCGCTTCAGCTTGATAGGGACAAGGTCAACAAGCCCAAGAGGGCGAGCCTGGAGATTCCTTCAAGACCCCCGATGAACTCAGAGAGTTGCAAGACTCCAAAAGCAAGGAGCCTGGTCAAGAGCCCGAGTTCAATGATGCTCCTAAGTTACTTGAACAAGGCACCCTCAAATCAAGGCTATAGTCCGCAAAAGGCTTATGGACCTCGGCCCAAACTAAGATCAAAGTCCCCCCTTCCTAGTATTGTGCCTTCTGGAGTGTTCAAGGAAGCAAAGTCTAGCAGCCAGAGGTTTGCAAGCCCTCCTCCACAGCGAAGAGGATCTGAAAAGAGTATATATGGCAAATCATTTGGAAGGCAGGTCTCTGATATGGGTCAAAGTCCTGATTGGTGCTCAACTCCAGTGGTATCTGGTAAGCACAAGTCTCAAAAGGACAATGCTTGGACAAGGAAATACAGTGGTGGAAGGAGGGTTAGTGCAGTGAACGCTGCTGATGATCGAAGGGCACAGATGATTAGAATGAACCAGGCGGTGCAGACGACAGTTGATTGGACCCTTGTTCCATCCAAGCTGCTCGTTGGGCACAGGTTTGCTAGTGGAGCGTATAGCCGGTTGTACAAGGGGTTCTATGATGATAAGCCAGTTGCAATTAAATTTATCCGCCAACCTGATGACGACGACAATGGGAAGATGGCTGCAAAGCTTGAGAAGCAGTATAACAGTGAGATCAATTCATTGTCTCACCTGTACCACAAGAATGTGATCAAGGTAACAGTTAACAAGAATGTGATTAGTTTTGTCAATCACTGCATTGTGTCTTTAGTCTTTTGTCTCCTGCTAAATGGTTATATACAAGTGCATGTGCGGATTTTACATTACACTCTTATAACCATTTTATTGAGATCAGTTTAAATTAGTGCTACTGATTATGGCTTGTGAAGTTGCCCCCACTATTTTTAGAAACAAATTAAGCTGGTGTTCCCACTCTTAGGAACACTGGAACTACTGTGCTAGTGTACTCAACTGCTCAGAGTATTTATCAATATATGTTTGTCTTTGTATGGATTGTTTTAATGAGATGATCTTACCAATTACGCATAATGCATTTCAACTGCATGTAGTGTTGATTGCTTTGTAATGCAACCACCCTTCTCTGATCAATTTTTTGCTAATGCAGCTTGTAGCAGCCTATAAATGCCCACCAGTCTTTTATATTATTACCGAGTTCCTTCCTGGAGGATCATTAAGGTCATACCTAAATAATACAGAGAACCACCCCATCCCTCTTGAGAAAACCATATCCATTGCTCTCGATATTGCCCGTGGTTTGGAGTACATACATTCTCAAGGGATTGTTCACCGTGACATTAAGCCCGAGAACATTCTCTTTGACGAGGACTTCTGTGTGAAGATTGCTGATTTTGGTATTGCCTGTGAGGAGACTTTATGTGATGTGCTTGTGGAGGATGAAGGCACTTACAGGTGGATGGCACCTGAGATGATCAAGCAAAAGGCATACAACCGAAAGGTGGATGTCTACAGCTTCGGACTGCTCATGTGGGAAATGGTGTCTGGTAGAATTCCTTACGAGAACCTGAGCCCTTTCCAGGTGGCTTACGCAGTAGCCAACAGGGTAATGATTTTTTTTCTTGCTTTGATTACAACTGAAGTGAATTTCTTGGCACAGTGACTGTCGAGGCAAATATATTTCTTACATGATTGATTTTTTTTCCCAGAACTTGAGGCCAACAATTTCTCCAGAATGTCCATCGGCCCTCAGACCCCTGATTGAGCAATGCTGCGCCTTGCAGCCTGACAAGAGGCCCAACTTCTGGCAGATTGTGAAAGTCCTGGAACAGTTCCACTCCATTCTCTCACAGGGTGGCTGCACCCACACACCAAAGAGTGGCACCTGCCAGGACCCCAAGAAGCGTCTCATGCAGTGGATTCAGAAACTGAAACCGACGCATAGCACCTGAGTAACCAAGGCTCTTATAGTTATAGCATTGTTGCAGCCGTAGTTTTTGTCAGGTTGGGTATGCTCGGTAGTTTAGACCTGTTGAGGATCCTTGATTCAAGGAACCAGTGTTTTAGGGATGCTCGTAGCTGTGTATCCGCTGATCTGCAATATAGATCTTACAGTAGCTGTCATGGTTATGCGTTATGCTTTTGCATTTTTTTTCTCCTTGTTAAATTTACCTGCAGGTTATTATTCTCATGATACCATAGCATGTGCCCCTCACTCGTTGAGGTGAAAGCAAAAGGAAAAGCATATGCAGAGTTGACTCTTGAGGCTGTCTTTTGGGAAAGGGCGTATGCTAATACAATTATTGCGCCCTTCCCTTCTATTATCAGCTGCCCTGCCGTGCTTATTGCCATGATGCTGATATCTGAGACAGCAACATCTGATGGCTGCTTGACTAAAGCTCCATTATCCTTGAGGTCACAAATTATAGTATTTTCGCCATGTTATGTCGACAGTTTAATTGTTTTCGTTTTTTTCTTTTTGTTGCGTTCAGACGTGTTTCTGAAACCGGTTTCGTATCCATTGGTTTTGCTGTATAGTCTGTCTTTGGTGAAACTTTGGGTTAATTCTAGGTCCAGTTTGCAGCATTCACCATGAATACTTATTTGCCTTGTTTGGATGCAAAGTACTTTTGGAGTTTTATAACAATACCATAGTTTTGTAAAAATACTTTGGTTTTGGAGCGTCATGAATTGTTTGGATTGAACGAACTTTATAATTTTGAAACCATGGTATTACTGAAACAGTAGTCTTTTTTGGAGTTTTAAAAACTGTTAAGCCTCCATTTTTTTAAAAAAAAACTATGGTTTTGCATGTCTCTTTGCTTCTCAAACTAAAGTTTGTTGATACTAGAGTTTCTCAAAACCTTAACATCCAAACAGCCTGTCGACAGACAGCAGAAACTGGATCCAAAACCTGAGCATTGTTGCTCTCTGGCAGTACACCATTTCAGAGTTGAAGAAGAGAATGCTTGCTGTGGGCCATTCAGTAGTCTCTTAAGCCTCCATTTTTTTCAAAAAAAACTATGGTTTTGCATGTCTCTTTGCTTCTCAAACTAAAGTTTGTTGATACTAGAGTTTCTCAAAACCTTAACATCCAAACAGCCTGTCGACAGACAGCAGAAACTGGGTCCAAAACCTGAGCATTGTTGCTCTTTGCTCTCTGGCAGTACACCATTTCAGAGTTGAAGAAGAGAATGCTTGCTGTGGGCCATTCAGTAGTCTCACACAAACATGCCAAGATGTTTTCTGATTCTGAAATTGGCTGACACTGACACTAACAGGATGTTTGCTTTTATGTGTGTATTTGTTATATGAAAGGTGAGCTATGATCATCTCCAGTCCACTACATGAGTACAAATCGGCTGGTGTTTTTTTTCCTGTACACACACACACATGACACATGATGCATGTCGACTACTTGCACTGCCTGTTGGGAAAGGCCTCGGACCTGACGATCCTGTCGATGAGCCTCCGGAAGCGCTCGGCTCCGGGCCCAGGCTTGAGCACCCAGTCGTTGTCCACGGCCCGGCACGCGGGGTCGGCGCCGCACCAGCCGCCGGGCACGAACGCCACCTCGCCGGCGGTGCCGTTGCCAGTGCCGTTGGCGGGGCGCGGGCGCGCGAGGAGTCCGTCGTCGATGGCGTCGAGCACGGGGTCGTCCCGCGGAAACTTCCTCGCGAAGGGAGCGCCGCTGGCGAGCATGGCGGGCATGTCGACGAGCTCGAGCGGGTGCGGGTGCTGGCGCGGCGGCACGTCCCACTGGATGTGGTGGAGGTCGTGGTTGGCGACGGTGGGCACGAAGCGCGGCGCGTTGCAGAGCAGCGTCTGGAAGTAGCCCTCTGGGGAGGAGACGAAGTTGGTGTAGTACATGAGCAGGGTGCGCGGCAGGTTGTCCCACCCCCACACCGTGTACTCCACGAAGTCCCGCGTCAGCGCCACCCAGGCGGAGCCCGTGAAGAGCTTGAACGCCGTCGGCAGCCCCCGCTTCGGCGTCACCCAGAAGAGGTCCTGTTTCTTGGAGCCGTACAGCCCCGGGTCCACGATCATAGGCCGAGCCCGCTCCCCCCTGCAAGTATGAAGCATGGCAGTCAGCTTCAGCTACCTTTGCATTTCATCGAACAGTTGAGCTGCAGATGCAGAGAGCTACTCACTCCTTCCAGCCTAAGTTACCCGTGTGCTCGATGAAGTTGACGTCCCTGGGCACCGTCGAGAATACGTGCAGGATGTCTGCCATCAGTCAATTCAACATTCAATCCGTTGTTAAACAAATCGTCAATGAAACTTTTGTACATATATATAAATAATATAATGCAAAATGCATAGCGTAGTGTACTCCTAGGTGAACCCGTTTGACCGTGTGTGTGTACTCGATCACGTGGGCATGGAGGAGGACGACGACATGCTTATATATATGTATATATATTATAAAATTTATATATACGTATGCATATACGTACCGTCCTGCGTCATGAGCGGGTAATCGGAGGCGGAGAGGTTGATGAACCAGTCCCAGGCGCCGCCGCGGCGGAGGAGGACGGCGCAGGCGTGCAGCGTGTTGGCCACCATGGTGGGGCCACGGTAGGTGACCATGTTGGCGCGGCGGATGACGTGGACGTTGCCGGCGCGGCGGAAGACGGTGGAGTTGGCGACGCGGACCGCCAGCTCCAGGCGCTCCGCCAAGGGGGCCTCGCGGTCCAGGTGCACCACGTACTGGTTGCGCGGGTGGTACAGCGCGTGCAGCGCGCGCCACAGCCGGTCCAGGTCGCCCTTGGACCCGGAGATGAGGTACGCCAGCCGCGGCAAGCCGGCGCCGGGCGGCAGCGTCGGCGTGTCGTTGGCCGCCGGCTCAGCGGTGGCGGCACGCTCTCCCTCCACGAAGTCGGCGGCGCGGGTGGCGGGCAGGAAGGAGAAGAAGGACGACGACGAGGAGAGGTAGGACGACGTCACGGCGAGCGCGACGGCCAGGAACAGCAGCAGGCTCAGCGCAGCCGAGAGCGCCCACCGGCTGTCCACCAACCACGCCGCGCTGCTCGGCAGCAGGTTCGTCGGCGACGCCGCTCCTGCGCCGCCGCCGCGAGGGGTCTTGGCGGACGGGGAGTAATGATGGTCACCCCCGCCCACGCCCCCGCCACCACCGCGCGTGGAAGCCGACTTGGCCGACCTCGGCGAGTGCTGGTCGCCGCGGCCGTTGTTGGCGTGCATGGCGCCCAACGACGATCTGCCGCCGCTCGGTGCAAGGCGCCACCACCAGCTAGCGATCGCGCGCGATCGATCTGTTGTTGGGTCGATGGATGGACACTACAGCGCCTACGGCCGCCGCTGCGGCTGCGTGTCTCACGCCCGGGCGCCCTGGATGATGACGATGGTGCTTACCGGCGATTGACGAACACCAATGATGAGCTTGGCAGCTTTATACAATCGTCGTAGGGATCGGACGAGGGTGACCACGACACAACCAATGGCAACTGGAGATCGAATTCTTGGGGCCGCCGGGCAGGGAGCAAGAGATTTGGATTTTTTTTTGGGTCTGCAAGGGATTTGGATGGGTCGAGAAGGGAGCTGGTTACGTGCTGGCAAACAAATGAAAAGAGATTAGGATGATGGATCAAACGACGACGCTGATGCAACCCCAAAGACCATTGCAGGCAAGACCGGCCGCGTATTTAACACACCACACACAGCAATTGCGATCGGAAAACTACTGTCCTTCCTGTTGACCAGTAGACAAATCCGAGACCGCTTCAACGGATGAACAGCTCGGACACCAACCCACTGGCCTGGAGATTGACAGAGAACAACAGATAGATGCAGGCAATTACTCTGAAGTCTGAATCGCTCATCAACTTGACCTAGAGAGAGAGAGACAGATGTGCCAGGATTTGATCCAGTCTAGGAGCGAGGAGGACGACGACGACGAGGAGGAGGACGATGATAGATATGGCGTGGAGAGGCGAGCAGGTTTCTCGGAGAAACGGTTGCTGGTTGCAGGGATGTCGCGAGGGCAAACACGCGATATATAGGTAGGCGTAGGCCTCTGTATGGGACGGGAGAGGATAAACAAATGGCAAAGTGGCCAACGCCCCCGGCAACACGGCGAGCTCGTAACGTCCCCGGCGACCCTCCGGTCACGCCCCGCCCCGTCCCTCTCGTGCTCCATCTCTCCCGTACCGTACCGTACCCTGCGTTCCCTCTTTCAACGCAGGCACACATTATTCTTGTTGCATCTGTCAGCATCATCGACATCAATATATACTAGTATATCATTGCGAATTCAGTTTCAGTCCCTTGGTTGTGACACCGGAACAAAGATAAAAATAATGGTTAATGAATAAACAGGCAGATTAGATTACCTATTGTGTGAGGCGTATTAAAGATTTGCTTTGCCTTGTGCCTCTCTTGACATCAACGATGATGGAATATATTTGTTAGTTGTCATTATTGGTGTGCCAAGAAACTGAACAGCCTTTTAATTTCCTCCCTGTTTAGTCTATGCCTTTCTTTTTTGTAGGGCGCTGCTTATTCTATGCCTATGCCTTTTTTTTTTAGGGCACTGCTTATCCTATGCCTGACAAAGATCTGAGTGCCTCACAAGGGACGTGTCTGCCCCGCTAGTCACCTGTCTCGGGTTCTCGGCTGCAGCGGCGGATTGCCATGCCATCCAGGCCACCGCGGTGTGTTTGTGTAATCGTGTGTACCTGGGCGATCCATGCATGGAGTTGGTTTATCGTGTTTCCTTCTACTGCTAGCGACATACCAATCATCTATACGCCTATAGCTAAGCTGGGTTTCGATCCTGATCCACGACCAATTTCCAAATACTAGTTGCTAACCTATAAGGTTCGGGTGCTAATCTATATCAATATCAATATCAATATCAATATCTATAATCTATAATTTATTATCTATAATCTACATCTATAACCTATATAATCTATAATCCGTAATTTTCTATATTAAAGAGGCAAAATTTCTATCCACCCATTTTTCGTCTACTTCAATTCCCCTAGCTACCCGGGCACTCCGTGTCTTGTACGTGACTCGGACCCATGACCCATACACATACGAGTTAGAACGACTTGCGTCTAGCAACATTGAATCCAGAGTTTGACTTCCAATATGTATTGGGTCGCCCCCTACATATCTCGTATTGACCCGGACTCATGATCCGCACTCATACGAGTTAGAACAAATTGCATGCATCTAATGATGATACAAAATCTGATTCCCATAAGTATTGGGTTCCGTTGCAATGCAGGGACACATTTCCTAGTCTAGTATTAAAGAGCCAAAATTTCTTTCTCCCGTTTCTCACAAAATCCACTCACCCATCGCTTGCCCTTCACCCTCATCTTTCTCACTTTGAGTTTGGAGCTACAAAACTTTCATTGGTGGCACACGACTTATGGCATAGCTTGATCACCTGAGCCCCTTCACGTCATGACATGTATGCAGATGTATGGTTAGTCTTCCATCATTTAAAAAAAAATAAAACAGGTGCATACAATAACCATATGTTTAAGTTTTAGTCGATCTCATATTAAATTTCCATATGGGATTAATCCTTTATTGCTCTAGAATTTACTGTTTCATTTAAGGTTGGACAAAGCCTAATCTAATACAACAAAAATAGCTAGCTCATTATTATTGGCATGAGCACGCGTGACAAATTGTAAATCTCATTGCAACATATGGGCTTGTTTGCTAGTAATATTAACTAGTAAATCTACCCGTGAGTTGCAACTGAACATTTAGTTTGTTGCATGGTTATCTGGACAACTTGTGACTTAGAGAATTATTTACCAATCATATCATGTGTTTCAATTTGTCTGGGAATCGAATTCCATACTGTGTCTCGACATGTGTTGCTTTAGCTCATATGGGTACCGGAGGTTTAGAGATTTTATCAATGATCGTGTCATGCGTTCGAATTTGTCTTAGAATCGAACTTTGCACCATGCTTGAACACTTAACTCGTATACACATGGGAGAAAGTGGTGAACCATAGAAACACTTTGTACTCCAATTCGTTTCGGAATCGGACTCGGGCCGTGCTTGGACATGCTACTCTTTGTGCATGCATGCATGGGAGAGAATGAGTCTGATCCATTGGATCCCCATAAGATGGTCGTGGGCGATGAAGGAAGAAGAAACATTTCGCAATTTAGTTATTTAGCGGTGATTATAATATGTAACTGAAAGATAATAGAAAATCTAAATTTAAGATGTATTTGTTTGAGCTTCTTGAAGAGTGTTTGTATAAAAAAAAACATAATATCAACCAAACGGGTGGAATCTGAAGCTATTTTTTAAAGGAAGTTGCTTTCACTCACGTAGGTATAATTTGAGGGGCACTTAAACTCTGCTTTCGGTTTTCTGCTTTCCAAATGCATAAAACTAGAGACAGTAAAAAAGTTAGGTCTTTGTTCGCCTGAACTAGTTCAACAATACTTTTCAGCGAACGAACAATATTTTTTTTTACAACAAATCAGCATAAGCATAAGCATAAGTCAAATTTCAGCGAATCACGTCATAGTTTACAGCATCCTGTACTAGTGGCATACGGGGAGACGCACGTGACTGAACTCGGTCGGTGTGCATCCGTCCTTCGTCGTCTCCTGCTAGGTTTTGTGGACATGCGTCCACGGGTCGCCGACTCACCGTACCCGCCAGTGGAAAGTGAGGAAAAAACGAGCAGGCTGACCTCTGCACTACACGGCTTGTTGCCTTCGTCCACGCGCGTCTTCGTCTCCTCTGACCCTTGTACGCTAAGCCTCGCAGCCCCGGGACCCGGCCACGATCGTCTCTGACCCTTGCGCGCGAACCTTTCGCGGGGAAGGACGTGTGCATCAGCATGGCGTCCGCCGGTTCGTGGTCCGGCGGCCGGGTGGGGTCGAGCGACGAATTGAAACTCTGCTCTGCAAGTGGAAGAGACGTGGCCGGCGTCGCTTGATCGCCGCCCGTCGCGCTGGCTGACGCAACCCCTGCGACGCCGAGGCCCGAGGCGGAGGCTGCGGGCCGGCGTCGAGTGGTCGTCGGAGCTGGAGGCTTCAGCCATAGCGTAGCGTGCGTACACACAAGTCCGGCTCGTGCACGGCAAGACGGCCCAGGACGGGGGTTTCCGTCGTTGTCAGGTCACGGTCGCCCGTGCCCGTGCCGATTGTTTAGGTGGACTTGGTGATGCCGACAGACAACTTCCTGTAGCCTCGTAGGAACAGTCGATTCCAGAGGCCGGGAGATGCAGGAGCAGCCAACAAAATCCATATCCATATTCTACTGGAAACCTTGCAGCTTGCAACATAGCATGCCACGAGGCCCTTCGTCCCAATCACTGAGCATCTCATGGAAAAGGTCAGCATATGTACCTACCACAAAGTTACCAAGTCAAGACTTCTTCCATCCACGCCAACAAGGTTACAAGAATAACAGCTGATTCAACAAAGCTCCCAAGTCTCAGCACGGCTTTTGAGAGATTTGGTGGCATCATCACAGTGAAAAAGCTCTTGGTGGCCAATTTCGACTCATACATACATTGGGTTTTCAGTTTAAGATTTGGCGACCTGAGATACACCTACCATCGCATTGCAGTTGCAGCAAACATTTCGAATCCACCTGACGATACATGACTTTGGTCACCGAGACACTCAGAACCGCCACCAATAAACAAATCACCTCCCCTCTTTCCTTCAGTCTCTCTCTCCAATACACATGCCCACTACACGGGTGTTGCTTTCATCCTCCCTGTACATAGCATAGCATAGCGTGTGCTCTATATCCCCCCGAAAACAGCACGGGACCAAGCAACTCGAAGGTTCCAACTCTTGTTCGAGCGCCTCACTGCTGCATGGCCTGATAGCTGGAGCGGCTGGAAGGGAAGACAGGGATGGCGCCGAAATCGCCGGGTCTTATGCCGCCCTGGTGATGTCCATGGTCCCTCCTCGCTCTCGACTTCTCCACCCGGGTTCGCCGGAAGACTTCTTGGATTTGCCGGTCGTTCTCCTTCAGCATCTCGTCGACGTTGCCTGAAGGGCAGGTCAGGGGCCCAGAATGGTGGATCTTGTTGCCTTTCGATCCGTAGCCCTGTTATGTCAAGCCATAAAATGGTCAGTTTTTTCTTCCAAAAGTACTAATAATGAACTAGAAGCAGAATAAATGAGGTTCGTTTCCATTTAAACCCCTTTTTCATGTTTCATTGACCTAATAACTGGGTTTGTTAACCTACAATTTGAGCTTCGCGATGCATGTTAAACTACAGTTCTGAATGAACAATGCAATAACCATGGTTGAAACAGGACAATCAAGCTTTCCATCCTTTTGCATTTCAGGCAGGACATTACTTACAATAGCTCCATCAACCCTGATGTTCCTGTCATCCTTCTTCAGGAACACTTGATCGTACTTCCCACTGTTACTGAAATGCTCGTTGATGGACTCCGACAGCCTCCGCCCATGAGCAAATGCTTCAGCTTGAGCAACCATTGTCCTGCTGCTATCGTCCGTTCGGAGACCTGATCTTGTTGACACAACCACAGGGTGATTCGCAACACCAGGGACCTGAAGTTCACCATTTTTGCCACCTACAGCCTTTGATGACTGGCTCTGATTAACTAAAGGACCAGAATGGAAGATCCTGGTTGGGTAGGCACGTTGTGGGTCTTCAGAAGACTCAGTAACAGGAGTTGGCCGGGGTGGTTCTATTCGGAATCCAGACGCGGAGTCTTCTTTGCAGGGATTGAACATCTCACTCCTGCTCCTGGTATTAGCTTGGGCCTGCCTTTTCTGAAATCAAAGACATTCATGCAGCAGGCAACACAGGTTACTTATGGTTTGAAATGACAAGACAAGTGCATATGCATCTCCAAGCTAAAGATAAAAAAAAAAGGACTATTCAGGAAAGTGTCAACAAGTGGAGAATTACCTGCAATGATGACACTAATTCTGCATTTGCATCAGGGGCAGGGACTGCTCTTGATTCTCTAGTTCTCCTTTCGGGGTCATGTTTATGTTGCTTTCCTCCAGAAACACCTTGCCTAAAAAGTTAATGGCTATGATTAGTACAAAAGAAATGCAGGCATTGCAGTATGACAGCAAGCTGGTTGCCTTTCACGTAAATGTTAAAATTTAAATAGAAAAAGATGGAGCAGGCAAGACTAAAGGAAATAGAAAAAAATGAAACAAGTCGTGCAGGTCTAGAAAACAGGACGTGCTAATTATACATGAGAAAAATGAGAGATAAATGTTAATCCTGTGTAGGTGTATGGGAAGCACCATCCATGGATGGAATGTTGCGCAATAATACCTCCGTCCCAAAAAGAATGCAGTTCTAGGTACATTCTCGGTTAAAGTGCCTAAAGTTTGATCAAATATATAGATAAAAATATTGATGATTACGATGCCAAATAAGTATATTATGAAAGTACGTTTCACGATGAATCTAATGGTACCTATTTAGTACGATAAATAGTAGTAACTTTTTATATAAATTTAGTCAAACTTGACATACTTGAACATAGCACTGTTCTAGAATTGCATCCTTTGTGGGACGGAGGAAGTATATAAAAGAATGTGAGGATTGGCAGATCTACCTAATCACTCTGCTTCACAGCTGTCCCTTGGGGCACAGAGAACGACAAGATGTAACATCAAGAAAAAAAAAAGTAACAATTGCTGCCCCTGTTACATGACTCACTCTAGTAACTCAATTTTCCAACTATCACAGCATGGGTGCAAATGGCAAAAGGTGCAGAAAGGCATCGTGAACGATGGATCTTGTGAAATGGAGGTAGTATATGTTCATGTGCTTGTGAAAAATATAATAATGTTCATATAAGTTTGACAAGTCGACAAAGATAAGTTTTGTGCTCCATGACCTAGTGAAGTGTTATGTAATTTTCCGACAGGAAACAATAAAGATCAATGCCTCATTAAGAATTGTCTTTGGTTGATGATAAAATGCGAACAGCAAGTTGGTTGTGCTTACCTTCGAGCTTCCTCCTCCCGACGTTTTGCATCAAACTCTTTGCTTGGGGGATACCTAGGCAAGCTTGAAGGATTGCAAGCATATGGCTTTGTTGTAAAAAACTACAGACACAACAATAGGTTCATAGCTAATTATTTAAGGCAGGAGGAATGAAATAGAAAAGAAATGATAAGTGTCATTTTTGGGCATATTACTTGATAATACAAGGATAAAACTGGCTATTCCAATATGATTAAAAGCATGACCATAGAAATGCATGGTGCTACCCACTACTTCCTGATTGCCAGACTATCGAGTATAGACTGGTAAACACAAGATAAGTTCATTCCGCCATGTTGAAAATTCAAATTTTAGAATATTTCAAATGGTGCAAACAAAATGAGTATTGAAACAGCACGTCTCATAAAGAATGGCCTGTTTGAAAACACAAAATAAATGTCTTGTGTTGCTGGAGAAAGGTTTAAGAGGGAATTGGTATACCTCACTTTGCAATGCAGAAGATGCAGTTCCACGATCTGCTGGGTCTACTGAGAGGAGAACATCTACTAATGCCAGAGCAGGAGCAGGGAACTCTTTAAATGTTTCTGGTACACGCCTTGCATACGGGTGTTGTGGTTTGAAAATGGTGGCATGGGGAAGCTTAGATTTCCTCCAATAATCCTCTGACGGTGAACCACAGAGTTTAAATATTTTATGCAACTGCTCAACCTAGAAACAGTGGAGAAGCTTTAACAACTTAGTTTTGTAAACAAATATAACTACTGAAGATATTCTCTTACAGCATTCACTTAGTGTGAGGGGAGCTTGTTAGCATACCTCTGTTCTACCAGGCATGATAGGCTTGCCAGCATATAGCTCGGCAAGAATGCAGCCAGCACTCCAGAGGTCTACAGAAACACCATAATTGGTGGCACCAAGCAAGAGCTCTGGTGGCCTATACCATAGCGTGACAACACGACTAGTCAAAGGATGCCGTTGTTCAGGATCAAAGAAGCTTGCTAATCCAAAATCTGCTATCTTCAATATGCCTCGGTTATCAATCAAGAGATTTGAACCCTTAATGTCACGGTGCAGAATGTGACGACTGTGGCAATGCTCAAGACCACGGAGGAGCTGTTGCATGTAACACTTTACCTGGACAACAGTGGTCCTTATTGTCAGCATGTTCTGACCATAGATCATACAAATAGCTAGTTCACTTCATTTCAAAAATGCTATACCGGCTACCAGACAGTGTTGCCAACTCTTTTATTTTAATGAGACTGGTATACATGGAACACTTCATCTAGTGATGCTTATTGTCAGTATGTACTGACCATAGCTCGTACAAATAGCTAGTTCTCACTTCATTTCCAAAATGTTACTAACTACCACTGTACCAAGCAATGTTGCCGAGTTCTTTATCTCTCTGAGACTAAGATAGTAGCAGGAATATTGACAGGTGAATACACTAAGGACCACAACAATATGACTACATACCTGAGACTCGGTAAATTTTACTCCAGCGAAAGAAGCTAGTCCAGCTAGATCATGCTCCATGTACTCAAAAACAAGATATAAGCTGCAGGACATCCTTGACGTTACTAGACCCTCTAGCTTGATAACATTTGGATGATCAAGTCGACGCAAAATGAGAATTTCCCTTGCCATAAATTTCACGCTCTCAGGTTCCAAATTATCAAAGCGCACTTTCTTCAAAGCAACAATCTTCTGCTTTTCAAGATCACGAGCTCTGTAAACATTACTGTATGTACCATGACCAATCTGAATAAACAAAAGAACAGTTATTGAAAACAATTTCCAAGGCAATAAAATTTACAGGTGCCAACCTTCATAGTGAGTTAATTCCATCAGAATTACCCCTGGCAACAATCATGAAATACATCTGAGCACATGAACTCAACAACTCAGTCCAAACCTAAATTCTAGAAAAGGTTTGAAGTATTTCGGCCAGTTCCTGCCTTTCATATTCCAATGTATAAACCTAAAGTATCCATCCAGAACAGAATAAACAGAATACTACTCTTTGTTATACCGATTCAGCAGAAGTGATCAGTCTGCCTCTTCGCCGCTCTTAGCAGAATATTTTACTATTTCCATTTAAACAACATTTGCAGGAAAAAGACAGAAGAAATACGAAGAGCAGTAGACTAATTTCATTCCTGGTAAAAGACCAAACTTTGACACATTCTACCAAAAGCTTGCTAGCAATGCCTACTATTCATAGGTTCCACGGTCCACTGAAACTAACAAAAATGTCCAAAAGAAAGGAAATGCCCCAAGGTTCCACGGCATTCTCGCATCCAACACAAAAGGCATCCCCCACTGATAACGGAATGTTACTATTTATCCTATCGTCCCCAGCTGCCATCGCCAGACATAGACAAAAACGAATCCAAGAAATGAAAAGATCTCGTGATATCAAATTGTTTCCGCGTCGCTGGAAATATATTCCATGTAAAACGTAACATTTCCTCATTTACCGCGCAATTTTACTGCTCCCCATCTGTTCACAGAGAGCAGTACCTCAACTTATCTTCTCATCTAGCAATAGAAATCCCAAAAAAGACTCAAAATTTACAGATAATTTCACAGATTATTACTGTTCTGAGATTCCGGCACAGGCGAAAAGCGAGAGCAAAATGGGAAGATAACAAAGTAGCAGGGGCGAAGCAACGAAGAAGGTCCTACCTTGTCGAGCTTCTCGAACGACTCGGCGCGGCGCGGCACCCATCCACGCACGGCCTCCGGGGCGACGGCGACGAGCCACGGCGGCCACCCCACGGCCACCTGCTCCGCCTCAACCGTCCTCGGCACCGGGCTCCTCACCTGGCACGCCGCCGCCATCGCCATCATCGCCCGTCTCCTCTCCAGCGCCTCCTCCCTCCCGTTCCCTGCCCTCGCATGCTGCTGAAGCTGCAGCTGCTGCTTCCGCGCCTCCTCCTCCCTCCTCACCGCCGCCGAGAGCTTCGCGGCCGGCGGAGGCGTCGCGCGGCACTGGCCGTCGTCGAAGGCGGAGGGGCGGCCGCAGACGCAGCCCATGGCGCCGGCTTTAACTGCAACGGCGCCCGCCGCCCGCGGCGTTGAACGGAGCTGCCTGTCCTGCTCAGCTCAGCCGGCGCCGGCGCCGGGAAGGGAGACGCATGCGGCGAGCGGATCTTGCGGCTAGGGTTTGGCTCGCGCGGATTAGGGTTAGGAGCGGTGTGGCACTGTGGTGGCGGAGGAGGAGGAAGGGGGGAAACGGTGGCGGGGTGGAACCGTGGGAGTGGAAGGGAAGCAACAACGGCCACTCCGCAGTCGCAGGACGGCAGGAGGAGGCACGCTTCGAGAGGGGAGGTCTTATTTGTAAATTTGGATTGTGCAAGGGTGTCCTTTTGGTTTGGGGGCCCTTTTTGCACCTATAATAAGGACTTCAAAGCTCTACAATTTCTGGAGTGGACAAATAGAATGAGATTCGAGGTTTTGTTATTAATTATAGAAACGGGGAAGGGAAAATTCCAGGTCACCCTTGCACTTTGGGCTTGGCTTCATCTCGAAATTTCACTTTGAACGATGAAATTAGGTTTTTTCATACAAAAAGTCGTGGTAAACTCAAATAACACCTTAAGGCCCCGTTCGTTTTATCTTAAATCCACGGGAATTGAGGAAGAATTTTACTTGCAGGCGATTTAATCCCCTCAATCCCAATGAATTTGGGATAAAACGAACATGGCCTAAGTAATTTTAGATGATGGACTAGTGGTGAGACCAAACGTCTCGAAGGCATTGCACAGGTCCAAAAAAAGAATCCTAAACTATATATTACCTACACATTATTGTTAGTAACCGTACCAAAGAGTCCACAACCACTAGAAACACACAACAAGAGACTTTTTTGCAAGGTCTATGGTTCAGGCCATGATTGGAAATCCCACAGTTGCGGATGTTACAACCATGTTGTGAGTACATTCTTGGTAGGTATCATAAGTGTTTTTCTCATGTGGAAATACTACAAGCAATGGTGGAGAACCAACATCATTCTTCGTCTTAGTTTTATTTATTGTGGCGACAACTCATCATGGTTTAGTTGTCAACAAAACTAAATCATAAGTAACAACATAATTAAATGCCTAGAAAAAAGATGCAAGATAAAGTAACACACATATTAATCCATAGGAGGCGAGGCTAAAAGGTTCTAATGGTTAGAGGGAGGTGAATAGCCTATAAAAATTTCTACAGCAATACTTAGCAAACCGGTTAGACAAATATGAGGCGAAGTGAGTGTTGCGCTAGCCTACTAAAAATACAAGCCACCTACCACAAGTCTAGTTTCTATAGTCTCTATCCACACAATGGATATGTCACTACACTAAGTTAGTGTGCTCTCAAAGACTAACTAAAGAGCCACACTAACCAAACTAATAAGCTCTCACAACTAATTACACTAAAGAGCTTGATAACTAGTTTACGGTAATGTAAAGAGCAAAAGCAAGATAGTTATACCGTCGTGTCGAGAAATGAACTAATCAATCACAAGAATAAATACCAATGAAGACCAATCACCTCGGAATCAAATGATGACACAATGATTTTTTATCGAGGTTCACTTGCTTACCGGCAAGCTAGTCCTCGTTGTGGAGATTCACTCACTTGGAGGTTTATGCGCTAATTGGCATCACACGTCAAACCCTCAATAAAGTGTCGTACAACCAACACAAGATGAGGATCACACAAGCCACGAGTAATTTACTAGAGTATCTTTTGACTCTTCGCCGGAAAAATGTCAAGAACCCCTCACAATCATCATGATCGGAGCCGGAGACAATCACCAACCTCCGCTCGATGATCCTCGCTGCTCCAAGCCGTCTAGGTGGCAGCAACCACCAAGAGTAACAAGCGAATCCCACAGCAAAACACGAACACCAAGTGCCTCTAGATGCAAACACTCAAGCAATGCACTTGGATTCACTTCCAATCTCACAAAGATGATGAATCAATGATGGAGATGAGTGGGAGGGCTTTGGCTAAGCTCACAAGGTTGCTATATTAATGCAAATGGCCAAGAGAGTGAGCTAGAGCCGGCCATGGGGCTTAAATAGAAGCCCCCACAAAATAGAGCCGTTGGTTCCTCAGTCCACTGAAAATCGGGGTGATCGGATGCACCGGTCAATTTGATTGGACGCAGGACCACAGCATCCGGTCGCGCGATGCACGCCACGTGTCCCCTGCTTCAAATGCTGATCGTCCGATCTCAACGGTCATCAGTACATTTAAGTTGTGACCGGACACTGCTCAAAGTGACCGAACGCAGGACCCCAGCGTCCGGTCATTTCCAGTAAGGTTCCACTCGCGATCGGACGCGTCTGGTCACGCCCGACCAGACGTAGGACCCCATCGTCCGATCACTTCCAGTAAGCTTCCAAAGGTGAAAAATTCGTGACCGGACGAGTCCGGTCACGTCCGACCGGACTCGCCTAGCGTCCGGTCACTCACCGTCTTCTCTGTGCGCCGCCACATGAGCAGGCCCGAACGCTGAACAGTGTTCAGCTAGAGTCCGGTCGCCTGCGTCCGGTCAAGAGACCGAGGGCGGCCTTCACTGCGCACCACTGACCGTACGCAGGACCCCAGCGTCCGGTCACTGCATGACCAGCGTCCAGTGCACTCTGTGAAACCCTGTCTTTTCTGTACAGGGCACCGGTGGCACCGTCGGACTGTCCGTACTCCGCCGGTGAAGTTTCAAACCCTTGCTCCCAAGTGCTAAACACAGTGTGTATCACCTTTTGTGCATGTGTGTTAACATATTTTCACAAACATTTTCAAGGGTGTTAGCACTCTACTAGATCCTAAATGCATATGCAATGAGTTAGAGCATCTAGTGGCACTTTGATAACCGTATTTCGATACGAGTTTCACCCCTCTTAATAGTACGGCTATCGAACCTAAATGTGATCACACTCGCTAAGTGTCTTGATTACCGAAACGAAATGGCTCGTACCACTTATACATTTGCCTTGATTCTTTTGTTTTTCTCGTTCTTCTTTTCAAGTTCAAGCACTTGATCATCACCATGGCATCACCATCAGCATGTCATGATCTTCATTTGCTTCACCACTTGGCATGTGCTATCTATCTCATGATCACTTTGATAAACTAGGTTAACACTTAGGGTTTCATCAATTCATCAAAACCAAACTAGAGCTTCCAGAGCCCTCTCTAGATAGAGATGTGTATAGACATAGAGTCGTTAGGGGCTTATGCCCCTCCTTCCACCTAAGCCCTCTAGATCTACTGGTGCCTCTATGAAACCATAACAATAATTAATGCTATTACATATGGGATTAGAGACATGATTGGTTCACAATCATAACCTGTCTGCCATAGGCATGGCGTAGTTTTTTTAGACGTATGTTTGGTTCATGTCACAACTATGACGTGTCAAACTTGCTTAGACATATGCCCCCATATATCATAGACTCATTTTGATGCCAAACTTTGATATAAACGTTGCGCACTTTGTATATCCTTAGACGTATGTTTGGTTCATGCCACAACTATGACGTGTCAAACTTGCTTAGACATATGCCCCACATATCATAGACTCATTTTGATGCCAAACTTTGATATAAATGTTGCGCACTGTATATCATAGACTCATTTTGTTGGCCATATTTTTTTTTATTGTTGCACACTTTGTCTATCCTTAGCTGTGGCTAAGTTAGGCATCAACTAGATAAGCACTTACTCACTTACTCCGTCCCATAACAAATAATAAGTTTCTATAAAATTTTAGATAGACTAAGGACGTTGCAAAAAAAAAGCATGTATCTTCATCTCTTTTCCTTTCTTGAAAGATATCTCGTGAATTTGGTACTTATCATTTGCATGCACCTATGAGTAGCTTCCACGTTAGGAGTCGGTGGTCCATGTTTGTGTAGAGTGTTATTTATTTTAGGATAAATTTTAAACCTTGAAAAATTATTTATTTTAGAATGGAGGGAGTATACTGCAAAACTTGATGAACAAAAATGGCCAAAAAGAAAGGTGTGCCCATAGACTGCAGCATTTGTTGAGAATTATTATAATTTAAAGTTGTAAATTTCGTTTGACTAAATCCTGAATCCCGCGGGACACGAGAGAGAGAGGCGTTCAAATGCAAGCTTGGTCGACCAAAAAAATATCTCGACTTTCGGAGGGTGTACACGCATAAACACATCCCCGTCAGAATTAAACACGGAAGCTGTTGTTCGCTGCACTGTCCCTGCGCCCGGGGGCCATCTCGCACGCAGGCTACCCATTCTCCTCGTACACCCCCTCACGGCACGCCCTGACAGGCATGTCTCCCGACCCGCCGGACCCCACGTGTTATCCGGGCCCAGGACCGCGAGGCTGGTATCCTCACGGGTGCGGCTCTCCGAGCCCGGCGCCGGCCGTTAGACTGTGGCGCCGGCCGATTGGACTGCGCGGGCGCCGCTACGCTACGCCCCCCCCGCCCGCGTACACGGGATCTCCCTCTCTCTCGCAGTCGCAGTCTCGCTGCGCCGATCGATCAGGCTGGCTGACGCCGCGGGGCCCGCCGCCGGCCTCACTGGTCTCTGCCGTCTGCCCGGGTAAAAATTTGGCGGGTAACGGCAGGCTCGTTCCCGCCTCCACCGCGGCGCCGGCGCGCACCTCGATGGCTTTTTTATCGTTTGTTTGAAAAAAAAAATAGTGGGGGATGGCGAGGTACGGAGTACTACTGCTGGGCAGTGCTGCTAGCTGCTGGCTGCTCGTAGGACTGTGCGTCTGTGCGAGACAGTTTGAGACGGGAAGCAAAAGCGTTTGCTGAAAGGAAACTTTGGTGTCGTCTTGTCAGTTGGTTTGCTTCGCGTGCAACTCGTACCGGGACGGTGCTGTCACGTGTATGCATCTACAATAACGGGAAGATTAGCTTGATATGCTCCCTCCACCTCACAAAAAGAAAGACTTCATTATAGCATTTTATTTATTTTTTCCCACGGAGAAACAGTGTAGCGCTGTTTGCCTAACAACATATGTCTATAACTATATTAGCTTAATTAATTTAC